GCAAGATTCTGTTAATGTAGCCTTACAATAAAGTAGAATTAGCTCATCTGGTCGTGTTTCTCGTCTGGTCTACCTAGTAAGGCTGACAAAGCATGAAACAAACCTCATGAATTTTTAGAGTTTTGTTCTGTGTATGACCCACAGCACATTTTCCCAACATGAAACCCAGCTTAGCTTTATTGAGAGGCATATTTTTCAGTGCAAACTGTTTCTACCTCAAAACATTCCAGCTTCAAAATATCTATACTGAAAGCTTTATTCTGACGTGAAATAAAACATATTTGTCGTTTCATGCCTTAATTACCTGATATGCCAGGGACCTCATTGTAAAACCTATGTTTTAAATGTCTGCTTAATTTTCAAGTACTTTGTATAAAAATTTTAAGTGAAGTTCTACTGAAAAAACTAGCTTACAGAATCATAACTTTAACATCCAAAATCTTATTTGATTTAACAGAATACAATATTGATAGGACCCCATCCTCTACTGAAATGCCCTCTGGATGAAGAAAAATGAGCTTTAAAAAAATTACACTCAAAGGAAATACAAAAGTGAAATTTTAAAAAGAAAAAAGGAAATATCAAAACCTGGAACATTTCTACTAAGACAATAGATTTGTTACAAGGCACACATCAATTTCTCATTCAAAACCCACAGAAGCCAATGGCCCAGTCTGCATATAAGGCTAAATCAGAAATTATTTTTATTTTTTTTAATGCCATGTGTTTTTTAACAAACCACAGCACTGTGGCTTGCACATACAACTAAAAGCCATAATGGCTAGCTTTACACATTGCAGTAAACCCCCAAAACAAATAAGCTGCCTTATGGATTAGTGTTAAGTGATATTTCATCCTTCATCAACCTTAAATTAAGTTTCTATGTGCAGGCAAGATACGGGCAAGCAGAGAACAAGTCCAAAAGAGAATAAACGCTCTTGGCTTTAAGCACTGCAGTTTAATCTTTCTCCAAAGTCAGAGAGATAAATAAAAGATTAAAGTAACACTTTCTGGCAGGTAAAAACTGTGCTGTGACAAATTAGATCCTACAAATATAAAAGTAAAGAATATTGGAAAGATGATGGAGAAGGAAAAGCTTGCCGCATAAATGTCTTGGACATGTGTTTTAATATGGTATGCAGGCAAAGATTTCTTGTTCATCTGGCCTGCAATCTGATTGCTGGAGGGACTGCTACTTTTAACATCTGTATTTGAAGATGCAGCACACCGTAATTTTTTCCAGTGATTATCCCCTCTCTGTCTCTCACCTACCCACAAACCAAGTTTTAGAAAGAAGCAGCACCGTGACTAGTCAAACGTCTAATAAAAATTGCCCATAGACACACAAAGAATCACAAATAAATAATATACTCCTTTACAAGAAATCGATCCAAGGATGACTTACTCTTTACTTGGCTAAAAAAAAACAAACCATGATTATTCCTATGCCGAGGCAACAAAACTCTACTCATGTTTATCTCACAGCTTTCATCACCAGTGTCAGGTTCGGTCAGCACGGGGCTTCGGGGAAGCTCGTAGCCAGCGAACTCTACCGGCGGCAGCTAGCGAGGAAAAGAGGA